GTTTACATAGTATCCGGAGCTCCGAGTTGGCATTTCGAGAAGATGAAATCACAATTTCTAAGTTCGTTTGCTGGACACAAACGATTGATCATGAGGCATCAAACGCTAGGAGGAACACTGCTCACTTTAAAATCCGCACTTTCTTCAACGAATCGGTGCCTGTCGTTGTGTAGATAGTCACATCATCGATTACATTATTGCATTCTTCGCAGGATAACGCCAAAGTTTGAAAGTTGGCTGAAAAGNCGCATCAATAAAAACATTCTCCGAATGGCGGACAGACAGACAGAATTTGCATAAAACCATACAGCAATCGTTTTGTCATCAATGTTTCCAAACGATATCATAGCATTCCCCTTAAGGCCGTTTACAACTGCCGGTGAATTCCCCCCTTCCACAGATGTGATAGACACATTATGGGGTATCAGACCTTAATTCTACTCCGAAAGTCTCAGTATGATTGCGAGTGGGTGGCTCGAATGGCAACTGAACACATCTCCTTCGCACCTCGCGAAATGCTCCAACACGATCAAGCGTCTCAAACAGACTCTACTGAGGAAGCCCTATTCACTATCTTCTCATGGCGAAGGTGTTCTCTCATCGAGGTGATAACACAAAAAGCCAATGTCCGAGGCTATAACCGAGTCGATGAAACACTGGCAGTTCATCTAATGGAGTTGACTAAGAAGGGGCGTACGAATCACGCACACACCTGCCTGGTCGTATTAGTGGTCACCGGCTCGATAAGGTATAGAGGTGTATTGGGCACTTTGGATGTTTGATCGTATCTAAATGGTGTATGACCGATGAAGTGGACAACGGCCCCCAATAAATTACGGGTTTCAAAGACAGCAGCAGCAGCAGAATGGAAACAGTATAACAATCGCAATCAGTTGTTGGGTTAATAACGCATTCTCGTGTGGTTGCTGCCATTTTGAAGCAATGAGATTTGTTAGTTCACATGGGAAACCCCCGAAAAAAATCATCGGTGCATATTTTACGAAGTTCTAAGATGAAATCGACCCAGTTTGTGTAGTGTAATGCGTAATCCGACCAATTGTAGTTACACCTACCAGTGACGCGTTCGGCGTCCGTCTCAGCTGGACTAAGGCAACATCCGGAATCCGGAGAGTCACTTCGATCCAGTGGGTCGGTTAGTAAATGATCTGCGGCAGACAAATCCAATTCGGGGAGCTGATCTGCGCAGTAAAAACGATATCCACCACCACCCGCAGCTCTAGAAGGGAAATCGTTTGAAAGGCAGGCAGCGAGAAATAATGAATGAAAAGGGACGTTGAAATGGTAGTGTTGAAATCGAAACTTTATAGCACTTCATAGAATCATGTTTCGATTAATCGACTTCCTATCACATGCAAAATCAAGTGCCCCATGCGGTTCGAAAGAAGTTCACAACAGTGGAATACAGAGAGAAGAGTCTGTACAGTTTTCCAATATGCAAATCAGTTGTGGCTCCGGAGAGACGGTAATATAACCTAAACGGTGTAGGTACCGAGATATTGCTTCATGAGAGTTGTTCTTTTCTAGCATACAATGATGTGATCATCTATCAGGACCACTGAAGGCTAACAATCAACTTGCTTTATTTCTGGAGTGAATTAGAAATGGTTGTAGCTAGGTGATGCCCAAATCATAGGCGAGAAAAACGAATGGGTCTGGTGGAATAACCGGTTATCGGTTAAAGTCAAACAAGTGGAATGTATAAGTTGCAATAAGTTGGAGGAAAAAGGAATGCTTACATTTTATCTGCTGCTGTTGTGGTGAATAAACAGCCTGAGTTGCGCACGACTTTCTTGGCAAGTTCAGCCAGGTCACGACGATGAGTGAGCAGACTGGGCATAACAGCAGCCAGGTAAGTGGCAGCTTCGTTGCATGCAACCTCGTAAGGGATAAGAACGGGTACTGTTGGTGACCTTGCGAGTCCCACACCATTCCCGTTTACAGCTTGCATGAAACCGGGTTGGCGGCCGTACAACGCAGCAGCCTCACGTACCGCATTTAATCGCGCCTCATTACATAGCAGTGAATTGATGGACGATTGTGACGCATTGGTAGTGTCGACTGATGCACTGTCCAGCGGAGTCTCCGAAGACAGTTGACGTGCCTGTTCCCAACAAGCCAATTCAATATTGGTACAATCTACTTTGGGTTTGAGATCATAGTGTGGCAAATCATAAAGTAGATCCAAGGCCGCCGTCCTTAAGGCCTCTTCTTGTGAAACCGTCAGCTGCATTGACGGAAAGAAAATGTGAGTGGAATAAAGGTGGATTTAAGGAATATCGCTGTTAAAACTAGGCAGGGGAGCAGAGAGTGCAGCTCTAATATGTAGGCTGGGAAAAAATAAAGATCTAATTCACGTAGTAACACAGCTGATTGTTTTAGAAAAAGACAGGGTTGGATCCCAATCCAACAGATTTTCCCCTGGTAATGTAACTGAAATAACCTTAATTATGAAGACGTCAGTTACACGCAAAGCACCGAGATACTCATTTAATACCACCACCTCCTGTAAATGGGCCACGTGCTGCGCCCAACAGATGAGCTAGTTAAACAGGCACTGAATAACACCAGGGGATGGTTTTGGTAATGCCGAAAGGATAGACAGTTGAAAACGCAACTAGAAACCGCCAAGTCTGACATGAGGACCCTGGAACTACAAAATGTCTACAAAATCTGCCTTTGGAACAAAACTCGGTCAGTCGTCTTAGGCTCTAGCTTTGGACCGCCAAACCTGGGCAGCATGTTGTAGAGGTGCATGAACCCGGCTCATTCTCCGGCAGCAGACGGAGGAGGAAAAGTGAAAAAACGGTCTGATTAACTGCCCGGTGGCCGAGTGGGTAGTATGCTTGCGTTCTACCTGTGAGGTTTCGGGTTCGATCCCCAGTTTGGTCGACGGATTTGCACTACTGATGAGAACCAACCAGGTCGAAACAGTTGTTCAGTGCTTTCCAGCTTTTCAGCTCACGCTTCATTTACACGATAAATTCATCATATAAAAAAACATTATCGTCTTGACTTCCCTAAGAATCAAAGCATTACTTTTATTTCTCACTACATTCAATAACAGAAGGCACAGATTTCACTGTCAAAAGAATCTACAATTTCGCTTATGGAAACCAACCAACTACGTCTAAAGTCGCTAATCGCATAATACTCTAATGGGAGTAGTACTTCGCCAAATGATAGAGGTCGTGCAACAACATCAATAATGCCTAAGTAGAAAAGGAAACTTTGGGTTAGGAAAACTATTGACGCTGGAAGCTTTTTATTCAATATTTAGTGAGACCATTTTTGTGATTAGCACTGAGGAGTTCCATAAAACTTGACGGGGTTCAGGAAAAGAAAAGATGAATTTGAACATACCTTACTAACGGTATCCCGCTTCATCATCGGTAGACCAGAATAATATGGTGTACTACAAATAGAGGTGAAGGACAAACGTTGAATGTCAAACAGGTTAGAAAAGAAAGCACGTAAACGATCGACTAGTGATCACTCAAAATTATGTAACACTTAACGGCAGTAAAGTATTCAACAATCTAGACCACGAAAAACCTAAACTACTAAGATCCCAAAAATTCTCAGATTTATCTTCGATAACTCCTATGTGCACGAGACCGAAAACAACAATGTTAGATTGAAGTACCTGGTTTCGCTAAGAACTGTCCGTGACTTGCTGGTGGTCAAAGTAGGGGTGATAGGGCCAGTGCTTGTTGGTTGTTCGCTGATCAACACCGACTGCTCTGAGTGCACCGAGCTGGCCGAAGCTGCCGCAGCACTAAAGACAGGCACGGTCGATGGTACACCTGAACCGACCGACAGTTGTGTCTGTTGCGCTTGAGGTTGTGGTTGTGTTTGTTTAATACCGGATAAACCTCGAGACTCTAAGAGTGCTAGCTGAGAGCTAGCCACTCGACCGCTGACGGCGGTAGTCTGAGGTACTGGACGAGTCGTTGGAATTCGGTTGGCTACAGATTGTGACGATTGAACAGTTTTGGTTTGTGCTGCATGTGCATTCACATCTGGACCTCGTACCTGACCCGTGACATCCAGCTGTTGATGCTGCTGTTGGTTTTGTTGTTGCTGGTGAATACGACGTTCGCTGTTCAGTGCGATCTGTGATTGTTCTACCGTCTCTTTAGCCAGGTGAAATAGCTCGCGTTTATGAAACAGTAAACCTGGCTGATAACGACAAATTTGTGCAGCAGCTTCGTTCAACGCCAACTAAAAAAGGAAGGAAAAAATGACTATAAATGAGTAGGATTGTTGCGGAACTATTGGACAGAAGCGTTTGATATTATAATAGGCAAAAAGGGGAGCCAACATTATTCAGCCATTTACACAAACTCAAAGAGAGTGGAGGCCTTTGAGAAGCACCCAGTATTTAAATCGTACAGAGGAAAGTTTCAGTTTGTACAACCAATAACCACGCATATTCGTGCGCCGGTTTTGGTTGCTGTTTTTTGGCTGCCCATTTAGATGAAGAACAGGAGAAGAAAGGAAAGTTAAAAGTGGAGTTGAACAGAAAATGGAAAAGTTCAGTGGTTTAAGGTTGCAAAGAAATTGAAGAGGAAAACACTCCTCGAAGAATTGGTCCGATCAGATAGGGAAAATCAAATGAAACCATTTAGCGTGGTGATCCCGTATAATAACCTACCTCATACTTTGTAAGAGCCCGGGAATGAGGACCGGAAGGTCTGTATATTTTGGCATAGTTACGCAATATTTCATAACTAGCCAAGGTTTCTCCGCGACTGGCACCAAGAAGATAACTGTTTACAAGTTCAACCATACTCTGATATGTTGCCAATGGACCGAGTTTTCGATGATAAGGCTCCGGCCGATATGCTGGTGTGCCGTCTGCCGATTGAGGGATACGTAGGGCGACGACATTTTCTGCTTGACGACAAAGGACAGCATAAAACTCGGGGGGCAAACCTGAAGGGCACCAGTCAGCAGCGGTAAGAACGGCTTCTGACCCATCTGGCTGAACAGATCCGGAAGCATCTGTTTGACTGAGCTCTGCCGCATCAGGATCTGTTGTGACAACTAGCGTCGTCTGAAGTAAGAAATATGATACAGAAGAAAAAGGTTGAACTTTGATACATTCGAAATAACTGAGAATTCGAAAAATGGTAATGCATTCCGAATTTTCTGCCCACATACGTGAGCAGCTAAATACTTTTGCTGGCTGTGGCAAGAAATAAAAGTATGCACGGTCTTGGGTATGAAAACAGAGTTTAGAGCAACTATCACATAACACCCATTGTATGCAATTTACCGAGAGGAATGCAGTAGGGTAAGCGAATCCTCAACCCATCGAAACCTCTTGAAAAACAAGACAAGGTGTACATAAAAGATGCAACACTACATCTATCATCCCCGCTGCTTCATTGTCTGCAGTTAAGACACAGAACAAATGCGATAAATGTTATATTGTGCTCATAAACAAATATTTCTATATTCAGAATAGGAACTGGAAAACTATTCACATTTGACTAAAATCCTACGCCAAAAGTGGAGGACCGGGGAACAGGATAGCAAATTCTACAGAATGCGTCGGTTTTACATTTATTCTAGTATCAGATCCCGTATCACATATGTACCTTCGCAATGGAGTAATCCCTATGGCCACACCCAAAAACTGCGAAGCTGTAGATAGTTTTCTATTACACAATGTTGTCTGACGATTAGTCGCAAACACTCTTGAGGAACAAGCACCTTCATACTAAAAATACAACAGGATATACTCATTACGTATGTGCAAAAATATGAAAGCAGGTTGAGCTTATTGGAGAACACTGAATTTCGACACAGCCTACTGAATATTTTTGAAAATTACCGAAAAGCAGCAGTTCAGTTTTTTTCAGTTTCTACAACCATTACCACGTATATTCGTGCGCCGGTTTTGGTTGCTGTCTTTTGGCTGTCCATTCGGATGAAGAATAAGAGAAGAAAGGAAAGTTGAAAGTGGAGTTGAACAGAAAAATGGAGAAGTTCAGTGGTCCAAGATTGCAAAGAGATTGAGAAGATACACGAACGCCACTGTTTACGACACCCAGTCATACCACTCAGTGTCTCTAACTATCGGTTACGATCATCCCGAGGTCCCCAGCCAGGGAGCCTAACAGGACCTATGTGACCCAGTTTCCTGGTTAGGGTTTTCATACCCTCGTG